CTGTCTTGTCCCAGAATAACATACAGTTTTTCTCAAGTGTTCTGATTTTTCTCCAACTTCTAAAAGAAATCCTTTATCCAATTCTGTATCTTTAATATATATATATATATATATATTTTTTTTTTTTTGCTAGCTTCCTCACATCACTTGGTCATATGGAGTGTGCAACCCATGAAATATTTTATTTTTGAACTGGTATTAGCCTCTATCTCTCCAACAATCTATAGTCTCCTCAACAAGATTTTTTAAATTGAAATAAGTGTAGGACCTGACATTTATTAATGTCAAATTTCACCTATGAAATGTCCCATTTTTATACTTTCTGATTTTTTTCACATTGTATTTTGCCATTTACTATATTTGCTAGTCCTTTTTTTGTGTTTTCCTCCTATTTGATGAATATGTGTTCCATGTTTAATGACAGGCAGATTGTAAAAGAGTACAACTCAAAGCCTCATAACCAGCCTCCACAATCCTTCCACATATTGTGATCAGATTAGGTCTCAATACTTTTTGGGTACAGTTTAACAGGTTATAAAAACATACTTGTCTCACAGTGTCAACTGTGATTCCCAATGATGAGAGTCACAGAGAAGTTCTTTATGAAATTTCCCACCTATTTTACTCTCTTGCCCCAACTGTTCCACCACCATGTTGGGGTCAAGGTGACACACAGTACTGCAGACATGCGGCACAGTTCATTTTCTGTCATCCTTTCTTGATTCAGTAATGGCAACAGGTTTGACCATCCTCCCTTCTGTAAATCACGATATTTACTGTAATGATTTCCTCCCCATGCAATTTAAAATTTCATGACAGAACCTTTTTTTTGGGTTCCTTCTCTTACTTCCATTATTAATCCATTATCAATTAACCTATTTCCATTAGCCCATTATCAATTTAATCCATTATCTATTTCTATTAATCCATTATTAATTTTCCTATTTCCTATTAATCCATTATCAATTAGCCCATTTCTCTTACTTCCATTATTAATCCATTATCAATTAACCTATTTCCATTATTAATCCATTATCAATTAACCTATTATGTACCTGACCTAGTCCTGATGATACATCCAGAATAATGGTTTCAAATACTTTGTATGTAATGTTGATTACCAAAATTTTATTTGCCTTTCATACCTCTTTTAAGACTCCATTTTTTTAGCTACCTATCTCCACTTCAATATTTAATAAACATCTCAGAGTATTTATACTGATAGTCCTCAGTTTTCCTATACCTATTTCAGTTAACTATAAATCCATGCTTCTAGTCACTTGTGCACAACCTACTACGCCATCTTAGCATCCTTATGAAGCACATTTTTCCCATTCAATTTTCAAAATGAACCCACTTCTTGAAACCTTTATTAGACCATCACTGATCAAGTCTCTGCAATCTCTCATCTGAAATATTTCAACCTATGAATCCCTACTACTAGAGATTACTCACAATGTGCTAGCTGAGGGTCCTCAATAAAATCTAGGATGAAGAACATTGCTCCTCTGCCTCCATTACCCAATAGCTTCTCCGCTCACAATAAAAGTCACTACATGGTTGATAAGATCCTACATGATTTTGCTTCATTATTACTTCTCTCATCTGTGTCAGATAATTTCCCTCTGAAACATTCTTCCTTAAATAAATTGCTCTTGTTTTTTTTTGTTTTGCTTTGTTTTGTTTTGTTTGTTTTTAATTTATCTTATTTATCCATGGATACAAGAACTGGGGTGTAGGCCAGAGGTTGGGGGAGGAGAGGATTCTTGAATATGGCAAACACACAGAAGAGGGTAGGTATTGTCCTTCTCGGAGCCTGGCAGGCTAACTCCCTCGTGTCCTTCAGGTCTTTACAAAACTATCACTTTCAGTTAGGCTTGCCCTGAAGAACCTATTTAAAATTGTTCCTCACTCATTGATCCAAATCCTTATTTTGCTTGTTTAACATGTTTGTGTTCTGCAGCAATAGTTGTCATACCCTGAAAAGTATATCATTTACTTGTCTATTTTAATTTTCACCTGTATGGTTCAATTGCATTAAAGTATAGTGTAGCATTTTTTTTTAATTTTTACCATTATTATATTCCTACTAGATAATTTATTGCCCTTATTATGGTATCTTACTAAATATTTGTGGAACATGAAAGAAAATAAACTGGATAAGAAATATAAAATATGTAAATATATATATATATATAATATTTTGTACTATTTGTTTTTAGTATACCTGTAGTTAATAATAATTCTCTTTCTTGTCATTCAACAATTCACTTCAATTTTATCTATAAATATGCTAATTTTTAATCAGTAATAAATATGTTCAACATTTCTACCTTTTTTAAAAAGAAGTGCTTGTTCTAAGTCGTCTTCCATTCTTGTTTTCTGAAGGACAATGTGTTTCTTAAGGCATTCTGTAGTAAATTTTATACTCTACAGTGCAATTCTTCTAAGTGTTAAGATTCAAATTAATTTGAACTGACCAGTAAGAATTTTCTCTATGTGTTCTTATTCATGTTGGTTCTATAATTTCCACTGTGAGGAACTTTACCCTTAATAGCAAAAGCAAAATGAAATAAGACTAGGTAACATTACCTTTTTTTGTTTCTTTCTTTCATTAACTCATCTGTCCCTAGGAGGAAGCAGTTAGCAGAGCAAAGGAACAACTTCTTTTGATTTTCCCAATAAGTGGGATATTTAAAGACATTAACTTAATCTGTTCATTGGCTCTAATCCTGTGTGTTACTATTTATGGCACTTAAACAATTACTCTGAATGTTTTCCCCATTCAGTTTATATTGGATTGTTTAAAGGACTGTTTTTTCTTGCTTATTGGTATTTTCAATTCTTACAGCTTTACTCATGTATTGCTATGGCATTTACAACCTCTTGTTCTGGAGTCATTTACTTCCCTGGGGAAGTCTGCTTTTCTGTGGTCCAAGACAGTATATCCAGTGAATATTTTCATCACTGATAATGCGAGACAGTTTTCCATGACATGAATTCATATCAATCTATCATTGTTAGTCAAAAAAGTGTTCAGTACAAATTCTCTTATCTGACCTTTTAAGAGGTTGTCTCTTATAAGACAATATAAAAACGAATAAAGTGCTATCTTTTCATAACAGGACTTTTAGTGAGTTCCCACAATTAGTATGTTTTAGTTCAATGTCCATAATCTCTGTTTTAGTAATACTCATCCACATTACTGATTTTTAAATTTTCTGAGCTATCTTATAAGAACTATTCCACTTAATTCACTTCTTTTGGATTCACCTACTGTTTATAAATTTTCTTTTGTAATCATCTTAAAATGATTTAAGTTCCTTGCTATTTAATACCTTTCTCTTATTCTCTTCCTTTTATGTATACTAGATTTTTGCTCACACATATCTCAGTCAAAATTTCCATCCCACAAGTTTTTAATGATATCTAAAAAAATGTATCTTTTCTTTCTCTCTCTCTTTTCTTCCCTCTCCTCTCACCAGGATATTTAAGATGTTCTTTCCTTCTGCTTGCCAATTAAGAATTTAATCTTTAATTACAGCACATCTGTAAAGAGGAATGATTAATAATTTTGACTTCTAAATATACTTGTGAGTTTTAGAGTGCACTAATATGGCCAAGGTTCAGTCTGACTTTACCTGATGCACAAGGGGTCAGTAAATGTCATTCTCTTCTGTGTGAAGCTGAGGCTGAATCCGAAAACCCTCCATCTTCCCATGGTAGAGTCTGCATCATCATACTTGTGGTGGGTGGATGACTGACAAGCTCCAATTCTACTCAAATTTTCTCTGAAATCCAGGTTTATAGGGAATGTGTTATAATCATACAAGTTCCTTTTTGATTTTAAGAATGTGAAAAATCTAACTGAAGGAACATTCAGCATATAAAAACGCAAATTTTGTGGGCCAGAAGACATTTTTGATGAAGGTTTGAAATTTGCAAAATTACATATATGGTGATTTTATTTATTACCCACTGTGTTTTAATTATATATATTAATGGTACAATTGAATAAAACACAGTAAACACCTTATAAATTTTTTGCTATATCATAAAATTTTGACATTTCCAAACATTTACCTCTCCATATATATGTATATGTATATATACATATACATATATATTGTTCAAATAGTAAGATTTCTAACTAGCAGAAGAAATAAAACATAACATTTAGTCCCTGTAATATCTGATTGACTAATATGTTCAAAATGTTACGAATATACTTAAATTTTCATTTTGCATGATTAAATACTAATGACAGTTTATGAATGTTTCCTCAAACAAAAATTGAACATTCTTAATTTTAGATGTTGGTGATTTTTACAGTTCCAAAATTTTCTTGACATGAATATACTAAAATAAAGTGAATCAGCTTTCCCACAGAAACTCAACAATACTATCTGAGTGAAGTTGTTTTTCATTCAAGAGTAGTTTTCAACCTGAACTAATCAGAAAATATCTTGCCATCTTTTATTTCCTATAAATTATATTTATTGAAACAGATCATACTGATTGAAAGCTTGGATAACAGTTAACTATGGGAGTTATTTTTAATAATTAGTTCATTTCACTGACCTGTTTACTAATGAATAAAAAAAATATGCATTCATTCATTCATTCATTCATTCATTCAATACACATTTAGAAATATATTGTGTTCCATTTGATTTTATAATATTAATGATCTGTTGAATGTTTTTGTTGTCACTTTATAACAATATGTGAGAAATCATCCAAAACAGATCTTTAACATGTTTTCCTCTCCCTTTCCATAAAATAAATTTTATTAAATTTTCTGTTTGATTTTTGTAATTAAAAGAATATTTGAAAGCTCTTTCTTTTCAACATTGGCAATGCAGTTCTTATTTTTATATTAATCACATTTTGAATTGACACCAACATTTTAATTATCATAATCAGAGAGACCACTTTAAATATATAATTTTTTTAGGTAGTGACTGTTTAATTTAATCCATAAGAGGGGCTTTCACACCTTAGTTCAAGTGTGCTGACACACTTAATGCCTCTTTCACTTCACTTAACTGTTGCATCTGACTGGAGCAAGACTGATGGCAAAGATCTTGACCTTGAAATATTGGTTGCATTAAAGGATTCAAGTGGATGATAGACGTTGTGGCTGGGTTTAAGTGGGAACCAAACAATGTGGGGATAAATGCTGTTGGGGGTAGAGGCTGAAGTGTGATGTGAGATGGGTGGAAGGGGGCAGCAGTGACTAAATGCAGGGGATGACCCGCTAAGAAAGTGGGGTGTGCAGGGATGATGGTTGGGGTCAGAGGTGAAAATGTGAAAGGTGCAAAAGGTGACTGTGAAAGAGGATGTAGATGGGCTAACGGGAGGTGACCGCTGTGAGAATTTATGGAGGCAGAAACAGCAAAATGTTGCAGGAAGGTGTGGTGGATGGTCGTGATGGAAGCATGCTGGTGGACCGGAACTGGCTGTATCGCTGAGGCTGGAGAGAAGGCAGTCGGCCCTGCAGCAGGCAAAACTCGGAGGTGCTTTGAGAGAAGCTGTTTCTGCATATGCTGCTGGGCTTGTAGCTGCAGGAGCTTATATTTATCTATTTCATCAGGAGAAAAGATTATAGGCTGTTGAATTAAAGGGGGAGACGGGGGCTTGTGACACACTTCTAATTCACCTTCTGTTCCATCATGCTTCTGCATAGCGGTATCATAGTAAGAGTCTGTGTTCCCCTCTACATGGTTCCTATGTATGCTCACATTCTGTAAGTCTAGATTTGTTTGGTCTTTGGTCTCTGTTGCATCAGTAACGACAGTATATCTATTAGGTGGAAAAGCACCAGGGAAATCAGTCGGTATTGGGTCACAGCTTTGAAGAAAAGGTTGGACTTCACTCATTAAAGGTTTTGATTGTTCTTTTGTTGGGTTCTCAGATGCCGTAGGCTCTGCTACTACATGAATTAGACCTTTAGAAAGATGGTTGTCATAATCAGTGTCAACCAATACAGTAAAATTATTTGTCTGTGAACTTTTGACTTTGTCTCTCTCAGTAGTTCTTTGAATTGCACTGGCTTTATCATTTCTCCTTTTACTTGTATTCTGTGTTTCTGCAGACAGAGGCCGTGGTTGTCGGTGACAGCCTGGTGGTGTAAATTGAATTGTGCACTGGATTTGGGAACGAGACTCTGATTCATTTTTACAGCTGTTTGAAGAAACCACAACAGGAGTTGATTTTTCCTGATGCTTCTTGGCTTGCACTCTTTCTAAAAGGCTTTTGGCTGTCAGGGGGGTCCTCTCTCCTCCAATGGACAACTCTGTGGTTTCTGAAAGGCTGCTGGGACAGTTTCCTAGAAGGTAGCTGATATTTTCAGGGTTATACTTCAAGGGCTTCACTTTTCCCAGATCACAAATGTGAGTGCTGTCCAAAGAGTCTTGGCTTCTTTCACTTTTATTTAAGTAATACATTCTCTTTCTTGAATGAGAGCCCAGTCTACTGTGGTGAGGTCCTTGGCAATTTGGTGGTTTTTCACCATTCCTAGCACAGACAATTTGTGAGTTAGTATGGTAACGGGTGTTTCTCCTGGAACTTGGCCCTGAAAACTGTTGATTTTTTTCCAATTTACATCTTTCTTTACAGTGATCATATGTATGTTTCGAGTATTTTTCATTGTTAAACGATTCCCACAATTTGAGGCTCCTTTCTCTCTGTGTTTCCGATGGCAGGAACTCGCTCTTTGCTCTGTCATCAGACAAGTAGAGGCAGCTGTGCCTCTGGCGTTTCCGTTTGTGTCTTTCAGCAGAGTTGTGTTCTCTTTCACAAAAGTAGAGCCAATTACTGCTGCGATTTCCACTGGATCTATGACTTGAACAAGTACTTCCCAGGCTGTATGTGCTGCCAGAAGATGTGTCTAAAGGGCTAGAACATCTCTTGTAATGTTGGTTTCTGCATCTAGAAACCCTGCTGGTCATGCTGATGTGGTTACTATTCAGAATCACACTGAAGTCCTCCCCATCATCACTGTGACCCCCTACTGTGTAGAGACCAGAATTCCAAGTGAACTGATTTCTATCTTCAAAATCTGAATGAGGCTCACAGGAAATCAATTTATGCTTGTTAGTCCTAGGTATGTAAGGAGAAAGTGTTATGTCCTCCTTTGCATCATTTAGAACTATCCTTCGGCAGCTTTGCCAGTGAGCCCTTGAAAGTTCCTGAAATTCACCATCACTATGACTGTTTTCTAAACAGTTCTTTAGAGAGATATCAAGGTAAGCAGGCACTTCAGGATTTTTCATTTCCAGATCATTTGCATGGAATTTCTGTTTCCTCATATTTGGCTCTGCATCATTACAGCCCAAATTATATTTCCTCTGGAAATTTTCCCAATCAGGATTAGCTATCATCATCTTTGGTTTGAGAGACTGATTCTCTTCTTGGATCAATTTCTGTTGGTCTTTGATTAAACCTGAGACTTGGCTCTCTCTTGTAGTCTTCATTCCCAAGGGCTCCTTCATCAGTTTTGTTTTTAAGTCCTCTGGATCACGGCCATCCTTTGTGTTCCGAGAAAGCTTAAAATCAAAATATAATGGGTTGCAGCCATAAGAGATACAAGGCTCTGTTTTTGTAAAGAGCAGAAGTTCTGTAGGCCACTGGAGAGTGGAGTGGCCATCCTTGCTCTGTACATGGAGAAAAGGCAATGGTTTGGCCCTCATATCCTGGGGACATGTTTCTCTTACAAGTCTTTGCACATTTTTGCTAATTCTGTCTGCTTCATTGAACGATTTTTGTGCATTCTCCATTCTAGAGTTGGAATTCAGATGAACGGTGCTGTTTTGTTCACTTGGCTCTGGGGATGGAAACTCATCCAGACATTCAAATATTCTGGCTTCACTGTGCTTACAAATTTTTGGTGGGTTAGAGGAAGCATTTGTTTGGCATGAGTGATTAATGCAGTTTTCTAAAGTGTTCTTCAATGTATTTCTAGTTCCCTTTTCTTTGCCGGGAGGAGTAAAATCCACATTTGAAAGATGAATGTTTGGTTTAGAGAATGAAGCATGAATTCCAATTGAATCTTCCAGTGTTTCATCAATAGAGTCATTTTTGCCTTGCAAAATATGAGAGCTTATGGAGAAGGTATTGTGTAAAACACTTTCCAGATGGCTTGGTGAGATGTTTATATCCTTTTCTTTAGTAAGGTGTGTATCCTCATCTGCAAACTTGTGGCATTTGCATTTCTCTGTGATTTGTTTTGTTTTATAGACAGATGACTTGTTATAATCATGGCTTTCTTCTGTATTCTCACTGAACACTGATGCTGAAGATTCTAATTTTAGATGGACCTTTTTGGAAAAAGAAAATGATACGCCTGTCCTGTGATTTCCATTGCTGAGGTCTGCAGATGTTTGTGGTACCCGATTACCAAATAAATAACGTCTATCTGTCTGTAATTGGTGTCGATTTGGCACAGCAGACCGCTGTTTATCGGACATGCTTCTGCAGAGATTCTTTCCTTTAAGTAGAAGAGCACCCTTCATGCATGATATCTTTCTGCCGTTTTTAACTGGGAAAATTCCTTGCTGGAGTTGTTTCTCTATGGCTACCCTGGGAACTTTGTATGCAGGTCCACTTGCAGAAACACTGTAAATACAACAAATATTGAAATGATTAAGACATCCAATTTGACCTTAAATCTTATCTATGTGTGAACATCTCCTATGTTTCAATGTTATATTATTATTTATGAACTATGTCTACTGTATGTAATACAGCCAATTCACTGTGGTTCTACAGTTCAGTGTATCAATGTTGAAAGCAGCTATTTCTAACATGCATAGTTTAAGCGTCTTCTTTGAGATTAGTAAAAGCGACAGCAGGTGAATATCCATGCCAGTACTGCACAGAAAATAAGTATTGCATTTATAACACAATTTATGTCCTCCAAAAACGCAGTTCACTAAAATAGACTTAACATTACTTCACAAAGAGTTTTCTAACCCCTATCTTCATATCAAATAGGAAACTAAATGGAATTAAAATCTACTTCAAAGGTATAAAAATATATTTTTATTTTGCTTTTTGGCATTCTTATCATTTTGTAACTTTTGTCTCTCCAGTTTTAAAAGTCTCTCATGCTTGATTCCTTTTGTAAACTGTGGTTGGTTATTTATGACTAATTATATTTGACTAATTATAATAAATGTATAATAAAATAACCGCAATGTACAATCATCTCTATCTCTTCAATTATATTGATTATTTTTCTTTTGATCCTCGCCAAAATATTTTCTTTCTTTTTATCCTTTGTGGATACATGTTTTACCTTTATCAGTTTTTTAAAGATTATTTATTCTACTTGGCTTAATTAGCAATTAAATTAGAAAACTTGATCAAAATTAGAAACAATATACATAAGAGATGAAGCTCATTAAGTTGACACTGTTTACCTAAAATGTTCTATCCAAAAACCTCTGCCTCCAGGCCAGAACTCCCTCTGAAGAAGAAGGCAATAAAAATGCACAACACAGACATCTGATTTCATGCGTTGACCTGACTGTTTCTTTTTCCACATGCTTCGCATTTTTATTTCACTTTTCTACTTCAAATCCTTATTTCATTTTTATCCAACTTTTTTTTTTGCTTGCATGTACAATACTAAAACAACTATATCTTTTCTGCTTGTAACTTAAGTTGCAATGAAGAGGAATGCTTTTTGAGCCCTTGGTCTAAGAAATTCTTGTTGTTTCACTTAGACTTTGGCCAATTTACATAGCACTCAGCAGTCACCTTCCTTTTGTCCACCAAGTTTCATGGATTTTTCCACATTGCCTTTACATATTTAATCATTCAGAGGCAAATTTTTATTAGTCTTCTTTCACACATATTTTTAAAAAAATGTACATTTGCATGATTTTGCATTTTTATTTATACATAGTATATGTTATATTTGATATATACATATACATCTGAGTTTTTAAATAAGAATATATGCCCACATATATACTTATGCACAAAAAGAGAAGAAACTAGGACAAGAAAGAAGCAATAACCAATGCAGTTTTTTGAGAAGAAAATGTATCTGAGTTGAAGAAAGTTGAATTGGAAATGCCCCAAATTAACCAATAATAGTATGATAGGCTCATTTCTTTTGGTCATTATGTTATCATTCTCCCCTTCCTGGCTCCATTATAATGGAGACGTGTCCCTACTTTTCTCTATCTTTTCCATAAATGATATTTATGCTTATTATTCCTGACACTGCTTTTTGTGTTTTCTTGCTTTGACTTATGTTAGCTTAAATGTTCATTCCAGTATTTACATTTTATCTTACCATTTAACTTTCTGAATATCAAGCATCTTCCTTGTGCTTTCTTTTCAATATGTTTGAACCTTTTTTAATTATTTTCACCACTTTGTTCTTCTTGTGCAAGGTCTTATTCTCATTTTTAAAATAAAATTTACATTTATGATTATATTTTTCACAAATTTTAACATTTTATCCTCATTGTAGACCTTTTAATAATCTCTTGTTTTATGCTTTAAGCATTTTTTCTCTCATTGCTTCTAAACTTTAATTTTCCTTATCTTAAACCTAATGTTTTTATGATTTTAGAAATCCCTGATTTTCTATTTGTACAGCATTTCATTCTATTATTTCAATATATTTTATAGTAAAATTAGTTTTCATTTTTATAGTTATAGCCTTGTTTATGAGTTTACTTCCATATCCAGAACATTTTTTAGTTTCTTTCTGTATACTTATTTGTTTATTTGTAATAGCTCACCAAAAAGAATGTCTGTACATAATCTTTTATTTTTTATTAATAGATTCTCCATTATAACATTTCTTCAAAAATTCTAATTCTTGGGAACTCTACCATCTGAAGTTTTATTCTCTCTCTCCTGCACAAAAATTACACATTTCAAACATCCCAAAACAACATTATAAGGAACATACTATTTTCAGAATCCATGCTATGAAATTTTTAAAAATTGGGAAAAGGTCCATATTAAGGTACACACCACTTAGATGTTTACATAAAGCGAATCTTTGCCCGTATAATGATCATTCTTGTGGAGGAACCAGTTTGGGTTGAAATACTCAAGAAATTGCTAATGCTGACTGCGCTTTATAAAACCCATTAGCAGTTTCCCATCATCTTTTATATTAGTTGGGTTCAAATATTGCTACTACTAGTAAATTCACCTCTTTTCTCCACAGGTTCATGAAAGAATCTTTTTATTTTTGTACCATCCCACACATTATGAAACTAGCGGGCAAAGAAAGTTATCCAAGGGAGGAATAATACAACTGATTGTTTTTTTTCATTTTATTTCTTACTATTATTTGTGAATTTAGCTGTCAAAGGAAAAAATATTTCAGTGATTCTATTAACTGACTTTCCTTTAGTGTATGAGCTACTAAAGTAGACAGAATTGTCTGAGGGTTGATGACAAGCAGTAGAAGAGATTGAAATAATTTCCCTAGATTCAAGTCCTATTTCTGGAAGGCTGAACATCTGTCACTTCCCTAACAACATGACAGACTAGGACCTAGAGAAGCTGCCTACTCTATGAAGGGCGCGATCCAGATGTGTTTATTTGGTTTGTTTTTGTTTAATTAAAAAATTTCCAGAGTTACAATTGAATCCCAATAGAGTGGGAGTTTTAATTCATTTTAGAGGACAATTAATGGGCAACTCTGCAAACTTAGATCTTTCAAACAAAATTAGTATCATCATCATCATCATTAACATCATCCCTCCTCTAATCCTTGTTTATTTCTTCCAAAACAAAATATGGAATGAGAGAACAGAACTATAGAAATGAGACAACTTTCATAGCAATAGATCAGCCAGATTCAGTATGGCTTATCATGTGTAGCTGTGTGGCCCTACATGTTCTATGTAAGGAGCATCTCTCTACATCAAGACCTGCCCCATTTTTTATTATCTGACTTGCAGCATCTCAAAGTTAATCACCTAGCAATGAACATCTTCCTTCAATATTTTTTGCTGATTACTCTTTACCATTAGACTTCCTTCTAAGTCCTATTTTGGCAAGAAATGTATGATACTGGCCCTCCCTGGTAGTGCAAAGGCAGGATGAAAGCACAGCACTGCAAGTGAGCTGCAGCCACTTCAGTGTTTCATCCCAGCCAGGGAGCTCACCCGTATGGCGCAGCAGATTTCTCCTGTTTCTCCCGCTGCTCCCCTCAGCAGTGTACTTGGTCAATCTGCCTGTTCTGCTCCCTACTCTGTCTCTGGTGAATTCTCTCACACCAGACCCTGACCCTGTACCTCTGGCCTGTACCCCAGTTCTTGTATGCATAAATGTAAAAAATAAAAGAAATGTCTAATACCTTATCAATAATGTGTTTGAAAAACATGCAAGATATGGCCTTATATGGTAAAAAGCTCAATACAAAAGTGAGCCCCATTTGTATCATTGGTGGGTCAGCAGACCACACATTTTGTAACAATATCATTTCAGGATACATGTTTTTCCGAACTTTATCTTTTAAAATTTTTAACATAATATCTATTACTTTTGCGTGACATCTTTGTCTTTCTTAAATCTTATCTTTATAATAAATTTCCTATTTATTTCTAATGTAATTATTTTATGCGTTTATTAAATTATTAAAAAAGTGATATAAATATGTTGATATTTGCAAGTTGAATATTATTTTTTATTCATAACTGATCCTAGACAATAGCTATTTTCTTAAAATGAGAGGTGAAGTTTGGACTTTCCCTGGTGGCACAGTGAGCTTAAGCACAGCACTAAGAAGCTGAAGACACTTTAGCATGAGTTCGATCCTTGCCCAGAGTTGATCCACATGGCGTGGCGAACCTCTCCTGGCCTGCTTGCTGCTCCCCCCAGCAGGGTACTTCATCAATCTGCCTGTTCTGCCCCCCACTCTGTCTCTGGTGAGACCTCTCACCACCCCTGCAATTCTGGCTTGTACCCCAGTTCTATATGAGTAAATAAATCTTTGAAAAAAGAAAAGGAGAGGTGAGGTCTAATAGTTTATGGCACTATAATTGAGTAATTCATTCACTCCCAAGTTTACTGTATATTGCTTTTCATTAAAACAACAGAGGTTTAAATTCTGGCATAGAGCTATAAATTTCACAATTCACCAGGCTGCTGTCAACTACATTAATTAGCTACATTAGTGTCCTGCATTATGATTCATTTGAACACAAATCACAATCCACAAATTTAATTGAATTCCAGGTAACAATTTTCTCACTTCAGAACACTCAGTGGTTCCAAACTGATGTAAAACTCCTATTTTTTTAGTTACAAGAATGTATTAGTGTAATGCTTGTCATAATTACCAATTTGAATGGCACTGTGTAGTAAATTTAACAGCATTAATTATATCTTGTTTGTCATCCAGACAATGACAGTGCCATTTATTTTAAATTGAGGCATGTACAGAAGATTTATTTCCCTCTAAATCAAGCACTGTTATTTAAGGATTTTAAAATTATTATTAGAAAACTTAATTACTAAGGTGCTGTAAAGGTCCATTTAAATCAAGTGGATAGAAAAAACACCAGTATAATGATTCATTCTTATCATTTATAAAGAGCATATTAAAGTAATATTGGGAATGAAAAAATTAGATATTATAGTTATTAATTCGTGAACCTTTAACTATTAGGAACATTTGTTCTCCATACATTTGTTAATTACTTGTAATTTGTTCATATTATCACAATGAATCAAGTAAGTTTATCACTGAAATTTCCCAAAAAGTTGAAAAGTGTTTTGAACCATCCAAGATACTTCTAACTCTTACCATTCAGACTGTTGCCTTAACTCAGCCAGCTGATGAAGTCTTTTAAGAGCTTTTTCTTGTTTCTTCTCATCTTTCCAGGACTTAGAGGCAACATTTCGAGCAAACTCTCGTTGTTTTAATTCTTTCAATCTCTGTGAATGAGGAAGATAAACAAAAGGATACAATAAGTAACTAATATATCCTTTCCTATCTGCAAGGCTCCTGGTTAAACTTTGTCCTAGGTGAAGTGGTAATTTTAGATAGCGAGAGTTAGCAACTTTGCCATTGATCTGATTCACTCCTTCATCATAAATTTAGCAGTCAACTGAACTATTTATCAAAACATGTCACCGTTACTACAGAAATGTGCTGCCAAGCTAGATCCCAGTCCTTGCTGGGATGATCCTGGGTACACAACAATCATCTTTAAAAAAACATAAATGGGAAAAATACATATTTTTTCTGTACAAAGTAAAGGAGGTTATAGGATGCACTTCACCCTATTCACTGCCTCTCACCTACACAACATATTCTCAGTCCTAAAAATTGATGGTACTAAATATATGGGATGAAACAAGCTTCATTAAGTGAGGAGAATCTGTTATTGTGACAGATTTAGCTCAAGACTCTAAATGTTACTCTTAAGCTCTTTTTTTTTTTTTTTTTAGATTTAGATATTTATCCAAAGCAGAAATTCTATACTGCATTGAGGAGAACAAAAATGGCTCAGGGATTTAAACTCACAATAAAGGCTTTGCATTGCTTGTTTAAAATTAACTGGCTACCTATTTTAATTAATCTTTCAAACAAACAATTGGCTGACATGCAAGTTGGATACTATTCATTACCTATTTAGATTTCTACATCAGGATCTGCCACTAAGAACACCCAATGCAACTGGACAAACTGAGAAATGGCCACAATCAAATAAATAACTTGGAAGTTTGAGGTCTCATCTAGAATTGAGAGTATATTTGAAGATTAATCTGTTACACCATATAAAGTAATTTTAAACTGCCTGAAATTTATATCTGTTTAAATCTTTCTTCATGTACAATAACAAGCACAAAAGCTGTTTCCTGGGATGGCAAAAATTACAGTTGGGCCCACCCTTGTGGCACAACAGTTAGAGCACAGCACTAAGAACTTAAAGCCACTTCAGTATGAGTTTGATCCCACCCTGGAGGTGACCCACATGGCACAGCAGACCTCTCCTGACCCGCCCACTGCTACCTCAGCAGTGTACTTCATTGATCTGCCTTTTCTGCTCCCTACTCACTGCCCCTGCACTTCTATCCTGTATCCCAGTTCTGTATGTATAAATAAATAAAACTTAAGAATATTGCAGTTAACATGTGAAGTAAAAACACTGTAGTAGACTATTTCCTACCTTTAGAGACAGGGCTAACACCTTTAATGGTCATGAGTTTACTGTTTAAGGAGGATATGTGCCTGAAAGTCCCAGCCCGATAACTGCATCTGAACTAAAAACTAATAGAGGAGGCTGAGCAGTTCCTCAACGTGATGTCAGCAACACCAAGAAGATGAGTATCACAAAAAGAGAAAGAGCCGTGGAGAGAACAGTTGTGTCAATTTGAATTCAAGTTTTGACAAATACTTAAGGACCTTTTATAAAGCCAAATTTCAAATAATGAAATTATGCTCCATATTTTATCAAAACACACCAACAGCTCTACAACTGATAAACAGAACAGGATTTAATATTAAAGGACAACTTTCATCAGAAGAAAGGCTTACAAAATCTCCATTTCTTCTTACGTTCAACTCATTTCTACTTCTTGGAGAGAAGGATTATGTCATAAGCAACGATTTTAAAGAAAATGTCCTATAAATTTAAACAGACCACATTAAATAAAGTTCGAGTGTGTCAAAGTGAGATTGCTTCTTTGGTAAAGGAGAAAGGTTTTTTTTTTTTTTTTCTTTCTTTTACTTACTACTTATTGCTAAACATTAAATGCTTGATATTCTACTTATTATATAGATTTGATGTCACTAGTATGTCAAACCTGTATATCCCAGGAGAGGAAATGATTGATTTACTTAAAACATCTAATATTTCACTTGCATTATTGGAATCTTTGTCTAAATGTCCAGGTATACCTGTTTCTTTCACTAGCTTTCCAGATTCCAAGGTGGTATGGCAATCTCTGAATTATAGACATGTTTATTTCATTTTATTTTATCAACAGTGAGTACTGTTAAGTTGTACTGTGTGACAGAAATATAGTAATGTGAAAATTATTTGCTCTTCAAGGGAGAAAGACAAATGAACAGATACTTAATTAGATAGAGTTGATTTCTTAATAGGTATGGACACAAAAATCTTTCCAAGTGTGTAGGAAAAGTTTAGACAGTTGGGGGGGTCGGAGTGGGCATTTGTTGTGTTGAGGAAGTGATCACATATTGAAAACTGGAAGACTACACAAAGAAAACCCTTTCCCCTCCAAGTTCTCTAGAGGAATCCCCTCAGATTCTCAAAATACTGAATAGCAGCACATGTGTATGAGGAAAGGCTATATTATGTCTAATACAAGAAAAGAACCAACCAAAGAATAAAACTAAACAGGATCCACATTCTTATGGAACCAGGAATGGTGTCTATCCACATCAACAAAATGGAAAACAAAAAATAGACATTAAATAGAGAAGTCAGGGAAGACTTGCTTTAATAGAGAATAATGCATAGATTGAAAACTATTGTGAATTTGCCTAACACATCATAAAAGCAAGAGATAAACATTTAAGTCTGATTCCAAGTAACTCAATTGTATTTCAAAATCAAGCTCAAAAATATTTACAGGAATAAATTATTCAACAAAAAGAATCAGAAGGGAGGCACTGAATTTCTTTTCTCTCAAAGAATACTTTCATCGGGATTTTGAATGACATTTCCTGGATTATAACTGTAGATGACTAGGTTGAATTATTAGTTAAATGTTTTATTTTATTATAATTACTTTCCAATTAGAAAATTTAAAAATTATTTCTGTGTAGAACTAGTGTATAGTCCAGAGGTAAAGAGGGTGAGAGAATTCACCAGAGACAAGGTGGGGAGCAGAACAAGTGAAATATACTAAGGGAAGCAGTGGGTGAGACAGGAGAGGTCTGCTGCACAATACATGGGTCAGCTCCCTGGCCAGGAGTGAACTCAGTCCATAGTAGTACTAGCTCTGGGGCTTAATCCCTAGGCCACAGTGAAGTCCTCAATTTAAATTTTAGTAGTTATATTTTAATTCAATATTAAAATGTTAAGAAAAAATTAACGACATCCAACATCTGTTCAAAGACTGTAAGGCAAAGAAGAGGAAGACAGACAAAACTGAGGTAAATAATCAAGACCAACAGAACTGACACAGTTGCTGGAACTTGTATAAAAGTGTATTATGATAATTAAAACTATATCACCTATACTTAAAAAGTAGAAAAGTCAAGATGAGCTAATAATAACAACTGGTGTCTCTGAAGAAGTGGGAGAAAAAATTTGCAAATATACTGGGTGATAATTTTCCAAATTTCTTGGACTTTATAGATTCCTTCCTTTAAAATATTACAACAAATCTCATCATCATAATTTTTTCAAAACCAAGGAAACAAGGAAAAGTTTAAAAACATATGGAGATAAAAAGAATATGTCCATACAGAACAAGTAGAAGGATGGCAGAATTGTCATGAGAATCAGTACAAATGAGAACATAGTGGCATAGCATCTTTAAATTTATGAAAGATAATGTAAAAATTACTAGACAATTTTTATACCCAGGGTATATATCTTTTTAAAAAGCAGGTGAAATAAAGATATTTTTAGACTTGAACATTGAAAGATGTTAATTGTGGCATACCCACATGGTAAAAAATGCTAAAGAATATCATTAGACAGAAAAAGAAAATAATACCAGATAGAAAGTACTATATACCCAGCAACAACCATTAAAATAATAATACAAAATTTCTTTTTCACTAGGACAGCAAAGAAGATAAAGGAAATCATTAAAATTATTCAACCCAAAAGAAGTAAAAAGAGGAAAGTAAAATATATGACTATATGAAAGTAAAATAAACAATGGATAGCAAGATAACTAATATCTAAAAAATTCACTAACCAGATTAAGTGTAATAAACTAAAGATTAGAATTAAAGGCAGAGAGAGGGCCCTCCCTGGTGATGCAACCTGTTAGGATGCAGCACTGCAATCTGGCCACAGCTGCTTTAGTTTGAGTTCGATCCCCCGCCTGGAGGTGACCCACATGGTGTAGCAGACCCCTCCTGACCCGCCTGCTGCTCCCCTTGGCGGTGTACTTCATCGATCTGTCTGTTCTGCTCCCCACTCTGTCTCTGGTGAAGCCTCTTACCGCTCCTGCACCTCTGACTTGTTCCCCAGTTTTGTATAAATAAATCTTAAAAAAATAGAAAAAAAAAAGGCAGAGAGAGTCAGTTCAGTAAAAAGAGAAAGCTCTAACTCTGCTCACTACAAAAACAAGCCTTAGAATAGAGATGATGGGTTAAAAGAATATAAAATGATATACTACATCATATACTCATATACTACTATAAGTCCCAAAAAATTAGAAGGGATTATATCACTCTAAAATAGCAGATTTTAGAGTAGATCCAGATACATTACTAGAAATGTGGACAGTAATTTCATACTGATAATGGAGTAAATCACTCAGAATTACAAAATAAGCCTAAATGTTTATAACAGATCTTCAAGGTCCACAAAGCAAAAATGGATAAAACTGCAAAGAGAAAAAGTTTAATCCATAATTATGATAGAAGTTTTTAATGCCTATTTACCAAATAACTACAAACTTCTAATCACAAAAATATACACCTGGAAAAGGGCATATACCAAAGTGACCATATCTATTATAAAATGACTTTCTAAGAATTGGACTTCCCAGTAGTTGGATGTCAAATTTTGCCAGCTTCAAATTTCACCTTGGATTTTACCAAATTCCTGCCTTTCTTCTATTCTGATAAAAGTCCATTTGTTTAAGCAATGGCATGCAATATAATTGTCAGTGAGTTTAGTTTAAAAGTGAAAATAAACCAGTTTAAAAAATAATTATTTTTAGACTGCTTTTTCTTTAATAGCGCAGTGCAAACATTTCAGAAAAATAGTGTTACACAT